TTCGCACACCAAAAAACTCCTCGCGCACGTTTCGGGCGCAGCTGCCCAGGGCGAAAGCGGTTTAAAAAAGGAACGTCCCGTCTTGACAGGAAAAAGGGTTGATCGGGCATCTACATAGTGGTCCCCAAATAGATTGAAATTGATGGTTTCCAAAACGTTCTTAGTGGAGATCTACTTTTCTGTCTATTTGGGGGCATCTTCTCCATCACGAACGGTTCGGACCAGGCATGGGGAGAGACTTCGCTCCCAGCGCAAGGTCCAAGACTTCACTCCGCGTCCTCAGCCCAACGACGCTGGAGTGCTGCTTCCGCGGTGCGGCGCATGTCTTCCAAGGACAAGGGGTGCAACAAATATTCGCGGATGCCTGGCGCAAGGAGCCAGCACCCTGCGTCAAGTGACCTTTCTTTGCTGAACCAGCACCCAGAAAACTAATCGGCTGAAACAAGTGAATCGACCAGGGGTCCCACCGGTCCAAGCATGTCCGACACCAATGATGGATCTTGCTGAGTCGATGCTGTTGTCGTCGTTCTGAGTCGTTGTGACACACTATGTTGAACCATGTTGCGCCATGTGGCTCATGGGGGTGGCTGACTGTGGGACGTCCTGCGCCACAGTCAGAATCCCACATATCCCCCATTCGTTGCGCTCAAGGATGTGCCAATCTTCACTCACTGAAACAATTGCGCCCCCTGAAGCAGAAGGATTTAAAAAGAAATGTTTTTTGGTGACACCAGCGCGCAATATTGCATTTTTCCCCACCTGTCAGGTGAAGGTTGCTAGATTTTATGTCAGCTGCCGTGCTTCTCCTTCTCCTTCTCCTTCTCGCTCCGCTCCGCTCCTCTCCTCTCCTCCTCTCCTCCTCTCCTCCTCTCTCCTCTCCTCCTCTCTCCTCTCCTCCTCTCTCCTCTCTCCTTTCTCCTTTCTCCTCTCTCCTTTCTCCTCTCTCCTCTCCTCTCCTCTCCTCTCCTCTCCTCGCCTCGCCTCGCCTCGCCTCGCCTCGCCTCGCCTCGCCTCGCCTCGCCTCTCCTCTCCTCTCCTCTCCTCTCCTCTCCTCTCCTCTCCTGACATTCTGTCTGGCATATCTTCTGACATTCTTTCTGGAGTTCTATCTTCAGGTGCGGCGGGGAACGCTGCCAGCCGAAGCTCGCAGTTGAGGAACCCTGCCGTCCGGAGCTCGCGGTTGAGGTCCGGCGGGGAACACTGGAGAGGAGAGGAGAGGAGAGGAGAGGAATGCCAAAAGGGATGCCAGAAAGAACGTCAGAAGATTTGCCAGATAGAGTGCCAGAATGATTGTTAGGAGATATGCCAGAAAGTATTTCAGAAGATGTTCCAGATAGAGCGTCAGAAGATATGCCGGAAAGAAAGTGAGAAAGAGCGTCAAATGAAATAATGCTAGAAGATACGCCAGAAAGAATGTCAGAAGACATGCCAGATAGAGTGCCAGAATGAGTGCCGGCAGATATGCCAGAAAGGTGCGTGGAAAACCAGGGGCACTTGAACACTGATCAGGGTTACCAAAGCCCAAAGCAGCTAGAGGAATTGGCATTAACTCTGTCTTTTTTAAACCGTACATTTTTGATGTGATACCGACAACTGAGCGGCCAAAGTGTCCTTCCATTGTCAACCTCGAGTGGCTACATATTTTTAGAAATCTGACAGCATGAAAACAACAACGAACACAATCAAACACATATGTGCACACTGAGTGCCCATGTGTTTCCAAGATGTTCCACACTTGTCACATGACGTTGCATCTTCCGAGATTGTTCGAGATATTGTGAGAAACATTTAGATAATCTGTCCTGGAGCCATCGTGTAGATTTAGTCTTCCGATAAATTTTGAGATGATATGAGAAATGTTGAGACAGGTTGAGATTTTTTTGAGCCGGGACAAGAAGTGTCTTCCTTTTAAGTGTTACATTTAGCTAGAGATGCTGGATTGATATTTTTTGAGATGATTTGAGAAAAAAATAGATAATTTGAGATGATGCATTTGAGAACAATTGGGTTTTGTTTGATTTGGCTCTTTTGGTTTTGCTCTGGTGTTGTTGTCTTCATTTTGTCATGTGAGTGTTGTCTTGTTGTGATTTGTCTTCAGTTGTCTCCTTTGACTGGCGCTTGTGTTTGAATTGCTTTTCTAATGTGTGCTCATCTATTTACACCTTTTCGCACAAACAAACATATCAAATCCCCAAAGATCTCAAAGCCCAATTCATTCCGCCCAAATGCTGAATACCACCAAACCCCTTCCAGCACTGAATACCCATGTGTTTTTCAGTGATTCACCTCCTGCCGTTCAAAATATATATGTGCGCAGCTTCAATTGAGGGTGGGGCCCTTCTTTGGGACACAGGCCCCGAGGTCAAATAGAACCAAACAGGTTTCTCATGGTTTCTCCACTTCTCACTTCATGGATACACTGAACTTAGGACTGATGTCATCGAACAGGCCAAATGCTCAAGTACATTGGGAAGGCATCACCTTGAACTTGAACATAAGAAAATGCCAAAGCGGCTGCAAAGCTTTCCAGGGACGCACCGTAACCCAAAAAGGTGTACAAGTACGTGGTGATGTCATGTCTGGAGATCTGTAGTGAATCTTGGTGCTTTAGCCGCACCCAGTCAGCCCATAGTGGCCTAAAGGCCAATCATTCAATGAAGGGGCTATGTTCAACTTACATTGGATGAAATGAATTGAAATTACATAAACTCGGCTATACATGCAGTACTTGCAATCATCTGGGCTTAAGATCCGAGGCGTCGATCTCTCTCAGAACTGTCGATGTCCCACCTCGTTCCCTCAAAACACTACGAATCTGATCGTCACTCGAAGCTGAGAGCTCATTGCCCACCTGCCAAGGACTGCACCGGCATCGAACCGCCGCCGCTAAAAAGAAAGAACGTGAACTCGGTACAGCCACAAAGCATAGCATGTCCATCCAACCTGCAAGCCCTTTTGAAATCTATGTTCGGCCTAAGAGGGGTCCCACTCGATTGTCTAGAAAGCATTGTCCCATGGCCTACTACGATCCAATCACCCGAACCTGCAACTTCTCACAAAAGCAAAAAACGAATGACAACACAAAATGACAATAACAACAATTCCAAACCAAGCCAATACGTCAATCATTAGCCTATAATCCAAATATGGCACGCGGATGCACGAAAAACCTGTGGTTCCCGTCATGGCCATTGATAGCCAAGGCTCCTGTTCGAACTCCTCCGCCCGGCTGGTCAATGTGACATAGACAAACTCCTGCCAGAAAACAGGGTGCTGGGACCGCCTTTTGTTTAAACACATCGTGCTTCAAAGGTCTCCCAAGTGCTTCAAAGGCCTCCCAAGTGCTTGAAAGGCCTCCCAAGTGCTTCAAAGGTCTCCCAAGTGCTTCAAAGGTCTCCGAAGCTTCTATACAATAAGTTGAGGATGACTTATTAACTTAATAAGTTGATCTACACTTTTGTCATTTTGATGTCGAGCCAGGTCCCATGGTATATCCTGGTATACTACCACCCGGGACCCACCCTGCCCCACCCGACAATTTCGCAACAAAGTAATGGTTCATATGTCCCTACAATGATGCGCCACAACGCCCCTAACCGCGGTATACCGCGTGGTGTCTTTCCAGGATGCCTCACATCGCACAGACTGCCGCAGTCGCCAGGGTTCGGCGTGCCGCGTCCTGCTTGAACTCATAGGGCAAGTCTCGATCGAGCCACGAGGTGCCCAACAAGACCAGGAAGGTCGGGCTGCGCTCCGTGGTCGAACCTGGGGAATGACGAGCATTGAGGGAGGACGGATGACGGATGAGGAGACATATTATGTGACACGCATGTGCGGTTGTGGAATGGGAAGGGTGCGGGGCTTGCACATCGGCTGGTGTCAGTGGGACTGGCCCAAGCGGCCAAGCAAGCGGCAAACAAGCCCTGCCTGCTGCAGTAGCAGCGCTTGGGCTCTTGTGAAGTGTGATGTTCACCGTTCAGGAGCCCATCTATGATCATCCATGATATCTTCAAGTCGGTACACTCTGCAGTAGGAGGACTGGTTGGTTGTCCTTCTGTTGGTGTATCAAGCTTGTTTCTTACCTATAAGCTCTCAAGGTGATCGCACCAAACTTTCCGCGACTCGTACCCTACTCGAGTCGATACTGAACAAAGGCGGGCGCATGCACCAGATGCGGCCGGCTCACCGGCGCTCTCGGTGAGGTGGCTGATTTCGGATTCGGCCGCGGTCAAACTTCCAAAGGCCTTACACCGATACCTCAGTCGGAAAGGAGCCGGTGGTGAAGCAGCAAAAGCACCGGTTGCCTGTTGATCACTATATTTTGCATATGAACCATGATCAAACCATTGATGTAGATTTGAGACATATCGCCCACGTGATTGATAGCTGTTGGAGAGACGCCCCTTGCTTACAGATTCTAAATGAATTTACGTGCCCGCTTTCGTGCTGTTGCCACTTGGCCCTGAGTCAACATGCTTCTACCGTATTATCCGTTGCCTGGATCCGGTCCAGTGCGGAGGACCATGCCTGGGCCTGGTCATTGGACATGCCTAGTCATGTTGAATCTTAGTCACCCTGAACGAGGGCAACCCTCCAGCCAGGGAAACAGGTGCCGGCAGGAACATATAAAAACAGTTTGTTGGTTCGAAAGGTGGTTCTGTCTCTGGACCCATCTGAGTCTTTCTGCCGTATCTACTTACAAACAAATGCTTTCTGTGGCTTACAAAATCTTACAAACATATGCCTTCGGCAGGCTCAATCGGAGGAAGAAGCAACCTGAAGCCACTGCAAATGTCATCAACGCAACGGACCCTCGCCCTCGCATGCTCCAAAAGCGGTAGACCATGAGTCCACAGAGGAGATTGACAAAGCCTCGCTCAAACAAATCCAGCTGGCTAGCTCCTGCCGATCTTCCCACTGCTCTCTCAGCCTTCTTGGACGGTACAAACACCGAGGACGGATCACAAGCCCCTTGGCCCATGTGGACATGTCCTATTATTTTAAGCAGCTGTGCCAAGGAACTCCAACAATTGGCACAACTGGCTGACTTCAGCACGGAGCACCGGATCAGTTTCCACAATAAAAACGAAGAGATTCTTACCTGGCGGAGCGGCGCACGAATATGCATGATCAGTTTCCGCAAGTCCATCTTGACATTGAACATTTCAAACCATTACTCAACTATATATGTATATATAGTATAATGACAATGATATAATTACATGGCAACGATCTGATATACAGTGCTTGAGGTATTCCTTTTCAGCCCGTACAAAATCACACATCCTATCACAGTGCTCAATGCCACAGCCGGGTGGTAACTCGATGCTCCCACTTCAACACCCGTTTGCAGAGGTACCTGCTTGCACCATCGGACCAGAAGTGGTCTCAGTCGATGAAAGTAGCGCGTGGCCTTCGGTACCGCTGTAGAAGTAGGGATTCACTCAAAATCTCTTGTGGGGTCACTGTGCATGCTATTCTGCTACCGTAGCACACCCCTCTGTCGATTTGGCCCAGGCACTCTGAATCTCTGCTGACTCCTCGTTCTCCACAGTCCGAGTGACAATTTTCCGGAAGTTCCGCAACCTGCAAGTCATAGAAACATGGGTAGGAGAGTTCGCTCCTAATCCGTCAACATGCATGGTTGACAGCAAAATCTTGGCAACCAATCAAAACTCACCCGTAGGCCCGTAGGTCCTTAGGTCCTTGACCCTTCTAGAAACGCAACAAAACATACATGATTTGCAAATTACATACATTAGAGATGTCACCCAAACCAGTCAAATCACTATAAACATCTTTAAACACATGTGAGATCTACTTTGTGATCACTGACCTCACTTCCATTCAAACCTGCCGGCACCGGCCACAGCGGCCAAAGAACAGCTCACGCTGATCCTCGCTCACAGCGATGTCCAGCTTGGTCTTCTCTTCCGCTTGGTGGAGCTTTCGTGAGACCAGCATCAGCAAAGACCTCCCAAACAAGTGGTTTGCAAGGCAAACTGACGGTAAAAGAACAAACAACACTTAAACTGAAACACTGAAAGTTGGTTTGTTTGCGATTCTCTCACGATGTGCACATGTGCATTGACCAAACAAAACATAAGAACAATGCCTGCGACAACTTTAACACGCCAACTGACTGATACATAAAACATCAACAAGCGCTCATTACGATCGCTGAGTTTCAGGAGGAGCTGCGATGAAACGAATGAATGGGACTCTTCAAGGCCTCTGGCCGCCTTGATGATATGATCTTGCAAAGATTCATTCAATGTGTGTTCCATGCGCATCTTGAACAAACTGTCGTGGATCCTGTTTTTGAAATGGTTGCCAACAACGCCAAACATACCAAACTCCACGGCGTGCATTTACATGCCAAACGACGCGATTTGGGGTGAAGAAACGCGCGATGAAGCCGCACCTTTGCTGCTCAATGAGGGATCTTTGCCAGGCTGCCTGAGTTTTTAAACACCTGAGCCGGACAATCCATCGGCACGGGCTAGGGAGGTCAGAATAGGCCACCAAACACGTACAAAGTTCAGCTAAGAATGTGAAGACTTCATTTTGCAAACCGGCCGCGTTCAAGCATCCCAGACCTTTTGGTTAATTTGTTTTTGGTGTTGCATTCTTGTAGGTTGGTTGCAAGGTTGGAGGCTGACATGTAGAAGCCAGTACGCTGGGGTGGGGACAAACATGGTATACCCACACTTTGACAAAACAGCTCTAAGAGTGTTGAAATAAAAAGGACTTGTTTCAGAGCAAAGCACTATGGTTGTATATTCTATCTGCCGGTCATCTCCTGTACAATAGTACCACATCTTAAGGTCTACAATGGTAGGCTGTTGACTCTAGACCTCTGCCGGCCGGGTACCTAAGTACCCACTATTAAAGACCTATAGTACTTGGGGGCATCCCTTTCCCAAAGACTTCTGTGAAATGTCCAGCTCGGCTCCATCGCCTGGTTGACAAGGTCATTGACCCTGACGGGGTGATGAACTCGAAGATCGACGCCTCGTTTGCAGCGATCAAATGCACAGCGATGAAACAAATAATTGACGGGTGAATCTCCAGCCTTAAATGGATCACGTTACTAGAAGCATCTAGAAGCTATTTGCTCCTAGTAGTAGGGCCAGGAGCTCCGAACGTAGCGATGTTCTTGGCCAATTCCATTCCTCAATTTGGGTCTGCCCTCCAATGGTTCGGCCTTCCCCATCTCCTGAGCGGAGCAATAGGACATCTTGTCCGAGAAGTCCGCTTCTGTGACCTCGCGACAGTTGTTGAAGGCATCGTCCAAGGGCCCGGAAGGCCCAGACTGTTGCTCCTGCCGGGTGCAAACGGAAGATTGCCACCCATTAGCTTCAATATGCAATGACAAGCTCTGCGCCCCCCCGGGCAAAAAAAACAATAACTAGACGACGAGTGGCCCGAAAGCATTTTTCATCACGTAGGAAATCAGAGTGCGAGTTATCCGGTAAGTGTGTAGTGAGAAGTGTTAAGTCGAGTGAGTTGAGGTAGTGTGTGGGTTTCTGTGCGTGTGTCTATGTCCTTGTGGAAACGAGTCTGCGTATGTGTGCGTTCGTGGAAGTTGAGGGAGCGTGTGCGTGTTTGTGTGCGATGCGGCCTCCCAAACCCCCCACCGGCGGCCAAGCGGTGACAGCCCAGCTCATCGTCGTGAGCATTTGGGCTGCTGGTAAGGGGACAATGGC